CCTTAGCTTTTCTTAATTGCAATACATGGTTTTGTTTCCATGGCCACCGAAAACTTGAGAGAAGACCCTCCCATTACCCTTTCACTAAAATGTGCATAGGATTTTCCTCCAAGCCTTACACAGATACGATCAGGGAAAAGGAGAGGGCTCAGTGCAATATTGCACCCATCTTCTTGCATTAGGCTCAAAATAAGAATCTGAAGGATATATATGTGTCACGTGTCAGCCCAAGCTGAAGGCATCCAGCAAGAGTATTTTCACTATTCAGCTAGCAGCCAGCATCTACTTCCGCAAGCCTGCATATTGATGAGAGCCAAGGCTCCCAGTCAGTCTCCACCTCATCTTCTTACCAGTCTTTCCTCTGCAGAGGAGAGAAGCTATTTTACTAATTTATAAGTACTCTGACTATCCAACCATCTAGAAAAATTTACTCATCAATAATAGTCAACTAAAAGCAAAAGCACATCCCACAGGAATTAGAGAATAAAACAGGCAACAGCAGCACATATTGGCCGACGAGACCCTTGATACTCACTAAAGGCAGCCACCGCGAGGGCCAGGGTGACAATGATGGAGAACCAGGATACCCACAATGCCTTCTTCCTGTAGTTCTGGGCTTCGTGAGGTTTCAGGCGGGTGCTGCTTTCTAGTAAGCCTGACAAAAACAAGGAGAAAGGGAAGTTAGACATTTCCTTACTAAGAAACCCACAGCGAAAGCTGCAATTTCTTACCCAAAGATTGCAAACTAACAGCCCGTGGGCCAAGATGTGTTTTGTTTGGCCCACACTGTGTTTTAACAATTAGAAGATTTCACATGAAAATCAAGCTTTCTGGCACCCCTTGAAAAATCACAGGCTCTGACAATATGGGCCGCGTATTTCTGCAGGGTAAGAGCAGCTGTCCTCTTTCGAAGATCTCCACAGACCCCACCACTCCTTAACATATCACACCAGGCCACTCCTTTGGCCCTGTGTTAAGTTGCTTGGCCTCAGGTAGATGCTGTTCCTGCCCACAAGGCCCTTCTGTTAGGAAAACAGCACAAACCACCCACATTCAGTGGGTCTTCAGGCTCCTCAGCTGTGAGCACTGATTTGCATTGATTCACCAGCACAGTCCCAACTGGTGGACTGGGTGTTGCCCAAAGCAAAGAGTCAGTCTACAAATGACCTCACTGCTCCCCCAACAATCAGCAGGAGAAGAACCATTTCTCTTTAACCACATCCAGCAAGAGCCTCCAGGCCCAAATTATAAGCCAAGTCTCCTTCCCTCCTTTTTCTGCTCTATAGTATACACATCCTTTTTAGCAAGCACACGTCAAAAAATTCTCAGAATATTAAAGTGGGGCAAACCTACTAAAACTAGAGGTAGCTTCCGAGGTAGGCCATGTATAAGACAAGGTTTATTTTTATCTCCTACGCTTTCAACATGGAGAGTCCTCGACAACAGAAATTCATGATAATTCCCAGGCAATGTCCACAACTGCCTGGGGTCAAAGACTAAAACGTCTTCAGAATGATCTTGATTTATATGTTTATCCTTCTCCTTTGACTATAGATCATATACAGCATCTCTTAGTTGCACAGAGCACCAGATTTTCAGCCATGCATTTACATAAACAGGAGCTTATTACACCATCTCTGATGAAACAACCCACAACACAACTTTCAGAGGTTGAGCAGCCTCATCAGAGCAGCTCCAAAGAATGAACAAATTGGTAATGAAAGCTCAGGTGCCAATTTGTAAAATATCACACAGTGTGAGACATACCACACCTACGCATCACGTAGAAGACACCATCTCATTCATCCAACTGGGTACCACAGTAAGCCTCTGGTTGCCAAAAACTGCATCCTGACCAAAAGTTCAAACCAGGACCCTGCTAAAGCTTTTCAGTTCCATTTATAACCCAGACTCAAGCATCGCTGAACAAGTCCTGAGCGAGACAAGCCAGAATGTCAAGAAGGTTGGTGAGTGAGCCCAGCTCACAGCCTAGAGATTTTTAAATAACTGAAACCTCCAGGCTTACATAGAATCAAAGGTAGATGAAATGCAAATGTGAGGCATAAACGCCATCACCATCCTCTCTCTGGAAATCTCCCCAAACCTTCCTTCGTGAGTGGACTTGGATGGAAAAGATAAATACCTTCTCTCTTGTCAAATTCTGCACAGGTACAAGGAATTTAAATAAAAATATAGCAGGCCCCTTTGTCTATATCTTCCTTGGCTGCCAAAAACCACCCTATTCCAGTTTTCAACTGTACAATCACCAGTTATAGCCTTATCCTAGAACGAGCAGATTCCATGCACCCTTAATAATTTATGTCCCTTTTCCCAAATGATATAAAAATATTCCTTTCATCATGGCCAATTGATTTTCAGGATAAGTGAAGTTATAACATTTAGGTACTGACTCAAATAAGCAGTTTGTTTGCTAGGTATTTTGACAGCAACAATCTCCAGATTGTCATGCACTGAGGTAAAAACAAGGTTCCTTTGAGGACTAGATTTCATGTGCTAAGAGGAATGACAATCATGCCCATTTTCTCTTCAGCCACATAACATTTATTTTTCCATCCAAAGTCAGCTAGTTTCAATAATGTAACTGGTCCTGACCACGCATGCGGACCAATCTACATGCTTCACCCACCAGTGAAACAGCACCGCCCTGGAGGAGTTTCAGATGACAGCCCAGGACAGCTGGACTATCCCACTGAGGTGACATTTGGGACTTCTCAGCATTACGACCAGTACTTCTTCCCCAGATCTGAGCCTGTGTGTGCCTCCTCCGTGAGATTTTTAAAATTAAAAAATAAAATGGAATAAGTACAATGGGAAGACTGTCCAAAAATGGAAGGACTTTCCCATTTCTATTCAACCTTTTCTTATTTTCTGCTGACTTTCCTTTCTCAAAATATAGCCAATCCTAAGAACGGAAAACTGTACTCCTCAAGGGGAAGTGGAGTATGATGATGTATAAAGACTCAGTTCCTAGTGAACGTTTCATACACAGGTACCTCCACACATGTTGGATGCAGGCACACTCACAAGTCACAAAGATGTAGCGAGAATTCCTAATGTTTTCAGGAAGCCGTGCTTTAAAGCTGGAAGAAAGGCAGCCTGAAGAGACAGGACAGCCTAGAGAAGCTACGACAGGCCTCAGATTTGCAGGCAGGGCTGGATCACCCCTACCCATAGTTGGCCCCCATATTTGAATTTCTAAACTCACTCAAATTTCACATATTTGCAATTTTGGCCTGGGAATACTAAGCATAGTACTAATGAGGGGCTGATCCTTTATTTATTTTGGAGAGGGGGAAGGTACAAATACATATGGAGAGGCTGAAGCCATCAGTTATTTCTACACTAGTATGCATTAGTTCCAATTCCTTTCTCCTAAGTTTGTCAAGCTTGAACTCTCTGAAGAAAGGGAAATTTTTGTTAGATGGGGAAGTAGTGGGAAATGCTCACACATATAATTATCTAAGGCTAAGCTGGGCCCTAAGGTTATGGACAGAATGATGGGAAAATACTTGTGGGGAGAAGAATAGGTATTCAAGGGGGATGGGAAGAATGATTAAGATAAACCTGGCCTAATTTTTGTGTTTAGTCCCTAAAGGTCTTAGGCCACAGAGCTCTTGCTCCTTGAACTTTAAGCTCAACCAGATGGCACTGCAGTTACTGACGTTCCGAGCTAGCTAGGTTTCTGAGAACCAGCCTACATTGCTTGTAAGGGGTGAATGCCTCCAAAGTCTCAAAACACTAGATTTTAAAGCAAACCTTTGCAGAGAGTTAGCCGTGGTCTGGAACCACATCCTGATAGCTCCAAAGGGAGTTAGGACAAAAGAGAATGCCAAATACAGGTGCAGATCTGAGGTGCCCCTCAACCCCTCTACAGACAGCCTATAGGTATTTAGGCCTGAAAGAAAGCAAGCCAAGCAGGATGCAGAGACACACAGCAGGCAAGTGCTGAGGCTTCCACCTCCCCAGTTCCTCTCACCAGCAGGAAAGAGGTAGCTGCACTCAAACCCATTCCCAAAGGATATAAAAATCAATATTGGAAAAATGCAGCCCCATAAGAAAAAAAAAAAACAACACAAAAAACAAACACAAAATCCCACAATAAACCTCCCCAGGTAACGTTCTGGTTTACTTAACAAAAATCACTTATTCACCGCATACTGGTTGCCATCAGGAAGAGGTCAAACAAAAGAATGTCACATTGACGTTCAGCTCTCAATGCCACACAGCACCGGGTTCTTTGGGGAATAGGGTTCATCCTAACAGAGAGGCTGTGTGTGATATGCCACGCTCTCAAACAGTGACAGTTTACAAACAGTCAATGCTTTCATGCTATCACATAATGGAAAATGAAATTCCGTTGACCAGAGAAAAATAACCTTAAGAATGAATTCAGAAGGGCTTTTCACACTTGAACATGAACTACAAAATGATGCTAAATATGAACTCACCCTAGCACTGTTTTCCCTCCTATTATTTTGTGGGGTAGGGAGAAACAGGCCAGCTCTTACAGATGACCTGCAATGCTACAAAAATAAGCTCAACCCAGGCTTCTGTCTTTCTTCAATATGGAATTTTTAAATCCTACAGTATTAGCTGGAGAGGGGCAAAGGTAATGAACACACCCTATAATAAAAGTGAGAGGTTTTGCTCCGTGCTCGTGATGTCCCCTGTCCTCACCTCTTAAATGGAATCTAGTTCTGTGAGAACAGGGGGAGAAACTGCAACAGAGGTGCAGAATTCGTTGCCACTGGAGCAGCTCCAGTTCTCGCTGAGCATCTAGGCGGATTCTCTGGGAACTGCCGTTTCCATGTCATTTTATTTCACATGCTACAGTTTAGAATTTCTAAGGAGAAAGAGATCGTGCATCCGAACACTAAACCGGAATAAAAATGTACAGGAGATACTAAGAATAGGACAAAAACCTGCTAAGTCTAAAATATATAAACCCGCCACAGCCAACAAAATAAGGCTTCCAAGAAAAGGGGGTGGAGGTGCAAAGAGCCGGCTTCCCCTGAAGGGCCTGGCTGCAAGAATCCCGCTTTGGCCACTAAGCGGTTTTAGCAGAACCACAGATTCGTTCTGAGGGGGACAATTTGGATTCGGATTCAGCAAGAAGCAGAAAAGGTGCAGACGCGGCCAAGAACAGGGCTCCCTCTGCAAAGAATCCAAGCCCAAAGGAAACGCGGAAGGGATGGAGGAGAGAGACGCGGGAATGAGCAGGGAGTCTCTCCCGTCCTACGCTGGCGACGCAAGGGGGCATCGGCAGTCGGTGGGAGGCAGAGTGTGGTCTCCCAGCAGAGGCACGTGTGCGGACCTCCAGGCCAGTGTCAGTGGAGGGGGGCTCTGAAGGGTCTGCAGACGCGCCCTCCGGAACCATCAGGTTTCAGTGGCATCTATCCAGATGAGGTTGGTGGCCCAAATCCAAATGTCCCATTCCTCTGCCCCATCATCAGACGACGGGGCAGGGACCCACCGTGACCCGGGTCCGCAGTGAGAGTCGGGGACCGCCCGAGACCAGAGGCCGCCCGAGTCTCGGCTCACTCCCCTCCTTGCGCCCTTCGCCGGGGCGGGCAGCCGGGCGGTCGCCGAGAGACATCTCGCGGCTACACCCGCAAGGGACTTCCCGCAGGGAAGTTCTCCCAGGCAGCCGGCGGGGCCGCAGGGGACTACGGAAAGGAGGATGCAACGAGCCCGGGTCCCTCCGAGCTGAGTAGGGCCCGCAGTGGCCCAGGAGCGCTCGGTTCCGAATGCAAAAAAATGCCTCCCGCAAACTTTTCCCGTGGGCGCCGGAGGGCCTGGAGCTAGCGGAGAGCAGGGCGCGAGTCCAGACGGGGTCGGCCTGAAGGCAGCCGGCGTCTGGGCTTCGAGGGAAGGAACCGCAGCCGAGGCGGTGCCGGCCGCAGAAGGTGGGGCTGCCGCTCTCGGCTCGCGGCGCTCTAGCCGGGAAGTCGGGGCTCCGTGCCCCCGCGCGCTCCGAGCCCCGCGCCCGGCCCAGCGCAGCCCGCGAGTGGGGAGAGGCGGGCCCCGAGCAGCCGCCCCCGTCGCCGGCCGGGCCGGGCGGCGCGCGCTCACCTCGGTCCTCCAGCCCGTCGCTGAACTGGCCGCTCTCGCTGATCCGCACCTGCCGCTCCTCCTCCAGCTGGGGCTGCTCGCGCGTCGGGGAGCTCAGCGGGGCCGGGCCGGGGGCGGCGGCCGGGGGCGCGTGGCCCCGGGGCGGCGGCGGGACAGGGGGCCCCTGGGAGCTGCGGCGCTGGATGCCCGCGGCCGGCTGCATGGCGCGGGGCTGCGGATCCCGGCGGCGGCGACGACGAGCGCGGCGGGGACTCGAGTCAGAAGTGCGAGGCGCCGCGGCTCCGGCGGGCGCAGGAGCGGACGGACCGGCCGCGTGGACAGCGAGGGAGGGCTGGCGGGCGCCGCGGAGTGGAGGTGCACGGGCGGGGGCGGGGACGAGCGGAGAGCCGCGCGGCTCCGCGGCCGGTGGCGGAGGCTGGGGCCGCGTTGTCGCCGCCGCGCTCCGCCCCTGGGGGCAGGTGCGGGCGGCAGGGACCCGCCCCGAGGCCCGGGCGCGGGAGCCGGCGCACCGAGGCGGACGAGAGGGAGGCACCCAGCGTGGGGACCCACAGCGGGCCCCGGCAGAGCTTGGCTAGGGCGTAGCGGGGACCCGCCCCATCTGCGCCGCGGGATGGTGCCCAGAGGAGACCCCTCTCACTGGATTCCTCTGCGGTCCGCGAAGCCCGCGGCCGCGCGTGGGTTGCAGACAGCGCCCCTAATTTGGCATCTTTCTCTTCTGGAGCTGCACAGGCTTCAGAGGCTGTACAGGGTCTTCGCCTGGGCCGCCATTCTCACTACTCATCCAGGGAAAAAGGGTTCATCTGTCCCCAAGCCCGTCGCTCTCCGTCCTTCTAGGAGCTTTAACACTCCTCCCAGTTTCTACCTGGAGCGCCCATTTAGCCAAGGATGGGGTATCTTTAGGACAGCGGGCGCTCTAGAAGATGCTTGAACTCCGAGGCTTCCCCATTTTGAGTCTTCCTGGGCATTTGTCCCATACAGTTCGCTCCCCTCTGCTCATCGTAAGTCTTGTGTGATCTTCGGAAATCCATGGAAGCCTCCCTCCTACAAGAAGTCTCCCCAACTCTGACCCCTGCAGCTCTTAATTCATTTTGTGCGGTGGGGCTGGTCTCACCAGTGAGAGTCCACAGCAGGGCACACGCCAGCTCTCCTGATGCCCACAGAGGAGCAAAAGAGGACCTGCTGTTTAATAAATTCAGCTTGGATTTGTTGGGGCTCAGAAAAGTATACTCCAACGTATGGCACTTTGGTATGCTAAGTCTGAACTATAAAACTAAACAGGCCTCTGAAGCCGCCTTGGAAACAAAGTCTCTGTCTCCCGCCCGACTTTCTCCCCACTAAGCAATTCATAGAAACCAGAATTCCTCTTCCCCACGGTGGTCATACAACCTAGAAATAGTACTCCAACCGCCCTGGTCCCCTGCCTTTCTGTGTAGGAGCTGGCCATGAAGAACTACTCAGACCTACTTTGTCTGCTAGTAGATAGCAGATCCTCATTTCAGAAGAGGTCCTGCTCTATACATGCTGCACAGAGAGGTCAAGAAGAATCTGAACAGGCCTCGCTGGGTTCACCCGTCAGTCTATTACCATTAGTTCACACCCTTTGTCCAATCACATGTCTATAGGGCTGTCCATTCTTCACTGAATCTAAGCATAAAAACAGGCAGTTTTCCCTGAGTCTTTCTATCTTCATTTCTGAAGGCTCCTGTATCACATAAAACTTTGATTCAATAAATTTGTTACGCTTTTCTCTTATTAACCTATCTTTTGTTCTAAGCATGTTAGCGGTGCCCCTTATGATGGGGAGGAAAGGTATCACACCTTTTCTGCCCCTGCCGTTTCAATGGTGTCAACATCCAAGCTCTAGAGTCTGGCTTTCGACTTTAGATTGATTCAGTCTCTGAATTGAATCTGGGTACTCCAAAATGTCAATTCCTCACTTAAAGGAGTCCCCCTCATTTCTTGAAGAGTCACCCTTTTCCTTTTTCATGTCTGCTTTGCTTGTGATTGAAATGAGAGTAGGATTTCAATGCCTTTGTGGTGCACTGGAAATATCACCAGAAATGGGGAGAGGGGTCTTATTTTATTTTGTTGCTGCTATTATTATTGTTGTTGCTGGATTGGAATGAGAAGATCTGAATTGACCTTGACCAACTCACTTTACCTTGTTGACCACTAATTTCTTCAACTACAAACTGAAAGAGTTGAACTAGGTCATTTCAAAGATCCCTTCCTATTGCAAAGAAAAAGAAAAACGCTATGATTACTTGGATACAGACAATGAAAATCTCTACCCATTAATCCTGGTTCTATCCTCTAAGACAGAACATCCTTCAGATATATTTGCAGAGTCATCTCCTCCACTTTTTCACTCCAGTCTGTCCCATTTAATCCCCCTGTCAATGGCTCTCAACTGGTTGGGGAGTCTAAGAACAAAAATACCCAAGCTTTGACTGCTAGAGATTCTGATAGCATATTTAATGTAATCGTTCTGGGCTGAGACCTTGGCATGGGTATTTTGTAGGGCCCTTCCCCATTCTAAGAGTCATTTGGGGGCTTAAAAAAAAATTATTCCTCCCTGACTCTCTGAGATTCTGGTTCAATAGATCTGGGGTCTGGCTGGGAACCTTCCTTTAAACCCCTCTCGCCCCCCCGGCCTCTAACACACATTCTGATGTCAATTATTCTGCAACCACCCTTTGTGATTACTCTCCACAATATGGACCATCTAGCTCTGTGCCCTTCACACACACACACACATGCACACACGCACACACACACACAGTCTGCAACAGATTCTCACCAGAAGAGCTGGTGTCATTATTCTTTCCTCTGGTTCCTCAGTTGGTTCTGTAAGTCCAGCACATCTCAAAGGTGAGTGTGCCAATGAACACCCGTAATTCTTAAAATGCTAATTCTAATTTAGTTGGTCTGGGATAGACGCTGTCAACCTAAAAGGAAGAGGCTGAGGCACAAAATATAATTGAAAGAATTTGCTTGAGCCCAAATGAGGACAGCTACCCAGGACATTTCTAAGTTGCCTTGAGGAGTGCTCCAATTAGCCTCTGTTATAAGCAGGTTTTTAAAGGCAAAGGGAGCAAAGAGAGGGCTGATATAAAGTTGTGTGACAGGCATCCTCATTGGTTTGCAGAGATAACTTGGGTTAGTGATTGGCTATAGATTGTTGAACTGTCGGGTAGGAGTTATGGTGTCCAGTGTATGGTCATTTTATGGCTACTTGGCATAAATTAGTCTAGAGCCCACATAGTCAGTGGCTTCCAGCAATCATTATTTCACTCAAGGTTGTCACTTGCTGCTGTTTCATTCCAGTAAGTCTCTGGGGCTGATAATGTAAAGGGGCTTGCATTCCTCAGATTAAAAGTTTCTTTTCTTTTTTTCGTTTTCCACCAGGCTGAGATTCTGTTTCTGATAAACCTCCCGATGCTGCTGATGCTGCAGGTCTGAAGACCACACTTGGAGAAGCAAGGATCTAGAAGTCGTTTGTTATTCATCGAATAAATATATTTCCCATCATGTTCCAGCTGCCCTGATTAAACAAGCCACTATTGTCTTTTCCAGAAAGATTTCTCTGACTCCAGCTCCCCTCTGGGTGCTCCTTTTTCTAAACTGTAACTGATTAATAATTCACCATTTATTTCATGTGTGGAGCAGGGATAGTGGTGCTTTCCTGATGTGCATTCCTTCCTCACACACACCTGCCTGGGTGTCAGGGACACAGTGTCCCCTCAAACAATCGCTGCTGATTAACTGGAAGATAACACTAGCTTACATTTTTGGAGGACATACCATGGTGCCAGGCACCTAGCTAAGTGTTTTACATGCATTGTCTCCCTGATTCAGCTACTACTGTCCTCATTTCACAGATGAACAAACGCAGGCCCATCTGCCTTGTCGACCTCTGCCCACCACCATAATCCACAGGGGTACTGCCCCCTAGGGGGCATTTTGGAAATTTGCAGGTACTTTCATTGGTCACAATGATGGGAGGAGGGGGCCCCTGACATTTAGTTGGGGGTGGCCCCAGATGCAGGAGACTGTCTGTTTCCAACATGGCTTTCATATGTCAGACCTGACCTTTGCTTCCGTTAAAATGTGCATCTAATTACATTGGAACTTTAACTTTGGTTTACATATAAACGCAAAATGTTTTTGCATCTTGTGAATACACACAGGACTTTCTGGAAATGCAACTACTGTATAAGTCCAGGAAGGGATGGTTCTCTGTTTACCACTTTGGAAAATCAGGACACAGAAGCCAGTTCCGTTCATGGTATCTGTTTCAGCAATCAACACATATATGATGCCCACAGGCCCAGTAATTCCATATGTGTATACTTCTTCAGCTCCCGTTTCAAAATAACAGTAATATACAGAAAAAGTGTAAAAAATATTCCAGAGTGCCTGTCTCTCTGTTCTTAAATTATAAATTGGTACAAATATCTGACTACTTATTTATGACCTCTGGTGTAGCTCTGAGTGAGCATTTAAATATTAATTATGTATTGCTTTACTTTTATTCCTCCTCTATTATCATGTAGATCATTATATTGATTTTTCAACTATGTGTATATACATTAGCCATGAATTCATTTCATAATCACAATAGTGAATAATCTAAAACAGTTGGGGCCAGGCACCATGGTTCACGCCTGTAATCCCAGCACTTTGGGGGGCCAAGGCGAGAGGATCACTTGAGGCCAGGAGTTCAAGACCAGCCTGTCAACATGGTGAAACCTTGTCTCTACCAAAAATGCAAAAATTAGCCAGGCCTGGTGCCACACACCTGTAATCCCAGCTACTCGGGGGGCTGAGGCAAGAGAATTGCTTAACCCAGGAGGCAGAGGCTGCAGTGAGCCAAGATTGTGCCACTGCACTCCAGCCTGGGCAACAGAGCTAGACTTCATCTCAAAAAATAAATAAGTCAGTAAATAAATAACCAAACAAAACAGTTGGTATAAAAAGGGAAACTGGACCATTACAACCAAGAAGATCCTGAGGAGACACAACCACTAGCTGAAATATGGCATTGTGGATGAGATCCTGGAACAGAAAAAGGACATTAGGCAAAAATCAAGGAATTCTGAATAAAGTATGGACCTCACTTAGTAATGTCTCAGTTATGGTTTACTACTTGTAAAAACTGCGCACTCACGTGAGATGTTAGTAATGGGGACACTGGGTGCAAGGTACATGGAACTTTCTAATCTTCTCAACTTTATGCAAATATAAAACTGTTCTAAAAAAGAAAAGCTGAGGAGAGGCTTCAAGATGGCTGATTAGAAGCATTTCATCCCTGCCTCTTCCACTTAGTGTGTATAGACAGTCATACTTTGAATACACCATCCAAGAGAGAACGTCAGAATTCAATAGAGAAGTAACAAGAAATACCAGAAAGCAGGTAAGAAGGGAGAGAGACAGCCCGTCTGGAGGGGATGAACTGGGAGCAGGAGTAACTTCCCAAGGCACAGAAAGGAAGGATGAGTGACTTCCAGAGGCCCACATCCCCACCATGGAATCCTACAATCCTGCCACAAGAGAGCCCCTCAACCCTCCCAACTCCTGAAACTCACACAGGGAGCCGCGAGGAGATCATGGGATGGAACCGCTCCAGGGAGGGAGCTCACATTGGGTCCCACACCCTTTCTGAGCCTAAGCAGCTATGGCAAGGTGCCATTTTCAGACCTCGCCTTTGGCAGACTACATACTATCCTGCGGCCCAGCAATGCCAAGGCTGAGGCATTACAGAGACTCTGTTGCTGCTGGGACTGGGGAGCAAGCTGGAAGTTGTCCCACAGCCAGAGCTAAAAAGAAGCAAGGTGTGGGCAGCAGCTGTTGGTGCCAAGAAGTGAGTGCCACTGGGACAGAGACTGGGATGCAAGCAGGATGTGGGATGCTGCTTGGTCTTAGTCGCCAGCTGGGTGGGAGCTCCTACAGCCAGGAAGGGGCATAAACTACGAACAGGCTACTACTGCTGGAGTGGGGAACAAGCCCTACTGGAACTGAAGCCTGAGAGAGATGTGCTTTCCCTACCTTCTGGCCCAGGCTGTGACCACTGAGGATGATCCCACCCTCTCCAGTGGCAGGGCCTCAGTGCAGCTGCTACCACCCTTTACCCGAGCACTCCACCTGAGGATCACCATGCCCCTGCCACCCATGTCATCCAGGCTAGTCTTGAACTCCTGACCTCAAGTGATCTGCCCGCCTCAGCCTCCTAACGTGTTGTGACTACAGGTGTGAGCCACCATGCCCAGCTGCAGAAAAGATAACTATTGGGTAGTGCACTTAATACCTGGATGATGAAATAATCGGTACAACATCCCTGGTGACACGTGTTTACCTATGTAAAAAACCTTCACCTGTACCCCCAAGCCTAAAATAAAAGTTAAAAAAATAAAAAATAAAGGAAAGTAATGTATAGGGAAGAGCACATGGTCATAAAACCCGACAGCGGAAAGACTGTAAGAAATCGAGTGGTATCTTTTTTGTTCTTATCTATTTTTTAACATTTTTAGTAAATGTCCCCAGAGCCCTAATTTCAGGAATATACATAGGAAAAAGAAGGAAGACCAAGAAGTCAAAGGAAACACATTAGACATAAGAGCCTCCACTGGGAATAAACGTCACAGTTATCTCTGGTGGAGCCACTTGCTAAGGGTCATGAGTGTTCTAATGAAACTGCACGTAAGAAATCACGTAGTCCTCATAGTCCTATAAATCAGATATGGTATTATTAGTATCCCTGTTGTAAAGATAAGGAAACTGAGTCTCACTCCTGAGGTCCGCTTTTATCCACTACCATGCACAGCCTCTATGGAAGAATCTACAGATGGCCAAGAGCACGACCACTGCACCTGATACAGCTCCATGAGATTTCAGGTTAAGGCATATGGTTACTTTACTTCGCTTCTTGTATGGACTCTGGAAAACCGAATATAAACATATTCATCTTTTGCATGTCTTGAAGAAACATAAGCAACACTCGAGAGCTAGGGTGCGGCACCCTCGCAGGCATGGACTCCAGGGCTGGGGCTGAGTAAGCACCTGTCCAGTGCTGGAGTATCTAAGCTGGCTGCCAAGGCCAACTCTGACAGCATTTATAGGAAGGGCTCGAAGATCTTCACTCGGAAAGAGGGAAGTGTGTGTATGTCCACATGCCTGAAGGTGTGAATCTTAAATTTATGAACTCCCTTTATCATGGAAAAAAAAGTATAAACTTGAGATATGACTATAGAGCATTCGGAGAAATATCATGTTGATTATAGCATTCTTAAGAGGCTTCATTTGGAAAATACACATACAAAAAGAATGTTTAAATGTCCTTTCAGCCTTTAAGAGACTTGCGGTCTAAACAGAATGGCATAGTTCTGCATTACCAGCCTTTACTGTGCATTCTCATCAGCAGTGGGTCTCAACTTTACAATCACCAGGGACAGGGCAACAAACTCACCCTGGTTGGCCAGAGACATTCCTGGTTTTAGCACTGAAAATTCCATGTCCTGGAAAATTCTCTTAGTCCCAGGGAAATTGAGACAGTTAGTCACCTTATTGGGATGCTTTAAAAAATCTTCATGTTCAAGCCAACCCACCCCTGACAAAAGGCTCAGAATCTCTGGGGGTGGGACCCAGGCTTCAATGTTTCCGAAAGATCTCCAAGTGATTCCAGTGTACAGCAAAGCACAAGAAAGCCCTGCTCAAGGGCAGGGCTTCTTAACCTGAAAGTACACAAGAATCACCTAGCAATCTTGGTAAAATGCAGATTTTAATTCCGCAGGTCTGGACTGGGGTCCAATTTTCTGCAGTTATAACAAGCTCCCTGGTGATGCCAGTGCTGCTGGTGTACAGACCAGCCTCTGAATGGCAAGGATCTGGAAAACACAAGCAGTATGTTTTGTTTCTACTTTGAAAGAATCTATAATAGAGTCAGGAAGAGAAGGATGTCAGGACAAAATTAACAAAAGGGGGGAAACAAATAAAACATAAGTAGCTAGTAATGCAGTAAGGAGAGGGAGCAGGTTCTAAGACACATTATTTTCTTGGATTCCTTACTACACTGACTACACATAGTGGGTATTTGACACATATAATCTGGAAATGCTTTGTGGTGGTGAGTTCTAACACTGACTTACAAGGGTGGAAGGGCATCCCAGGAAAAGGCAATGGTGGGCATAAAAATAAGCTAAAATAAACTAAAACTTTGTTAAGTGTACAAATCCACAGTTTTCTCTGAGTAATGCTTAATTGTGGAGGAAGAAAAGAATTTGGATGGGGCATATTGAAGGAACTTCTGGGGTGACTGGGAGAGTTGTATTTCTTGATTAGGGTGGTACTTGCTTCATAAAGATTTATTAAGCCATGCATTTGATTTCTGTGATTTTTAGTATCTGTGTTTTTACAATACTATTTTACAATAAAAATATTTATAAAAATGTTTATCTGGAATGACCACATATATTGGGAGGGATAGGTCTGCTTTGGCTAAACAGTTTGTACTGAAACCGGTCAGAGGTTGCTAGGGGCTACTGACTATGCAGAACTAATGAGTCATCTCACTCAGCTC